AACTGAGCCTGGTTCTGCTCGAGGTTTCTTCCTGTTAAAAGGGAGTTTTTCCTCTCCACTGTCGCTACAAGCATGCTTAGTGTGAGGGATTGCATTCGAGTCGATGCAATCAGCTGGTTTTCCTTAGATAGAAAACTTTGAATCAATCGGACTGGATGATCTGGTGAACTGGAAAGTGCCTTGAGATGACATGTGTTGTAAATTTGCACTATATAAATAAACTGAATTTAATTTAATTGAAATTGCTTGTGTTCTAACGTAGGCACAATGGCAGGAATGTCCACCCTACTCTGAATTCCTGATCACGATGCCTTGAGGTGTAAACTGCCATTTCTGTCACTAAGATCCAAACATGTTTCTGTCTGGTTTGCGAAAGCCTGCCACTATAATAATAATAATAAACTAATCAATATTTGCAATCCTTAAAACCTTAGAAACAATTAACTTTACTTATTCTCTGTTTCTTATCTTTACTTGAACTGTCTTTATTTAATAATTGTTCCAAAGAAGCCATCGGCTACTTGGGTTTTGTACTTTGAAGAGTTTCAATCTAGTTTTAGAACCAGTTCAGTGGCTCTAAACCGAGATTCAGTGGCTCTGTTGGGTTTCAGTGAGCAGAAGAAAATGTTCACCTTTACAGTGTTATTCTTGCTCACCAAATAGGAAACATTAACCCAGTAGGATTAACGTGATTTATTCAACATGGCTGCACCTCTGTCAGGTGAAAAGGAGGTACGCTTTTACCGGCGTTAGTTGTCGGAAAAACTCTCTTGCTGCTGAGTTTTTGATTAATGCAGGAAGACATCACCTACTGCTCCTGAATCGGAACCACTGAGGACTATCTAACTTCACCACAAAAACTTGCTTTTATCGCCGCTCGGCTCCACTTTCTCTCCCTCTCAGGCCGCAGCTCTCATTGACCTCATCGTCTTCATGAGTTAATGGAAGAAACGTGCCTTTGGGGTCCATCGGGCACATTTAGAGTCGGCTCACACGTCCTGAGACGGAAACAACATGAATAATTTGCATTGATGCTGCGGGGAACGTGAGGAGGGCTGACACCTGCGCGCCGTGAAATGGAGACACCCTTTAATTCCCTGGACTCAGGGGAATTTCTGCACAATAAGCAGCTCGGAAAAACAACAACAAAAAATGCTTTTGTGGTTGTTGTGGTCTCCAACTGAAGCTCAGTTAATGCGCTATAGATCTTTTTGTCAAGGCATAAAAAAACAAAAGCAGGTCAATAAGTGAGTTACATAAAAGTATTTCATATGGTTAATGAGGCGGGCTTAATTGAATCTGTGCCCCACAGCATTTAAATCTTTAACTGATTACTTCTCTATCAGTCTAATAAATGCTGGGAACTGACAACAACAGCAGGATATTGTCACTCATGCGTGACGTTAGTTCAGCTTTGAGTTTATAAAACACAAAAAGAGACAAAAGAATGAATATAGAATTTAAATGTAAGGTTCCAGATCATATAAAGTGGATTACTTTTACCACTTAATTAATCTTTTTAAGGAATATAGAGTGCTAGAAAAGTATAAATACATCCATAAATTAATAGGTGTCAGATTAACTTAAAGACTCAAAGGCGACAGCTACAATTCTAACTCCTCCAGGCCATTAAGTGGCGCACTCGCACTCCCCTGCTCTCGTTCTGTACCCGTTTCCAGGTCTGCTGTCATGATCAGGCAGGATTACTAGCCCAAATGCAGAACTCACAGACTCAGAGGCAGGATAAAAGTCCAATAGTTTATTGGATTACAGACTGGGGTTCCTCCTGGAGAAGCAGAGAGGACAAGGAAGGTTAGGTTCAGGTTCAGGCACAGGTTAACAGGAAAACAGGGTCAGACAGGCAGGATGGCTCAGGCTTGCTAACTATGACAAGAGTCAACAATCCGGCTCAGAGTGGAGCTCTCCTCCAGCTTATGTAGGGAGAGCTTAATGAGCAGATGGGGATCAGCTGCTTCAAATGAGCACCAGCTCTCAGGAGAGGATCCACGGCGCCCTCTGGAGGGCAGACCTCTGGATCCCAACATCTGCTAATGCTAACCTAAAAAAATGTGTAAAATACTAGTTCAGCTCCCTATTCTTTCCGGAAGTTGCGTCGTCTGAACAGTCCAGCTTCTTTTAAGTGTGTCTTCAGTGTACGCAAACTAACTGAAATTTCGTGATTAGTCTCGAGCATATCCAGTATCGCCTCGTACGTATGTCCTGATTCAAAATATTCCTGGATAACGGCAGCTATGTTTGGGGCGCCGACAATATCCATGTTTTCAAAAGCCGCAGCAGGCAGAATGACTTCCGGTTCAAGGGTCAAACGGCGCCGTCGTCCAATCAGCGATGTCTCATGTAATTGTGTTTCCTTAATGTAGTTGCGCTTTTAGATTTGTAGTTGCAGTTTGCACTTCAGGGCCACCGTAGTAAGATGAGGGGGTTTTAAATGTAGCAAAGTAAAACTACTTAGGTTAAAATTACATATTTCAAAAACTACTCAAAAAATTACAAATTACTCATAAAAAGTACTCAATTACAGTAACTTGAGTAAATGTAATTAATTTCTTTCCACCCCTGGAAATAAGATTAGCCGTTTAGTTGCTTATGGTAGTGATTGAGGAAAATATTGTTTATATACAAGAACTGGGAAAGTGCAAAATGAGAAAATTGCATTTTCTTGAAGATAAACAAAACTTTTCACATCAGATGTTCTTGCGTGGAAACTTTAAAGCGATATTTACCCTATAAACAGCGTGGATAGCAAAAAATAAGTTGCCATGTTTTGCTGCTAATGAAACTGGTGCATTGAGTCTATTGGAGAGGAAACTAAATGCCTACAGGCTCTAGAACTTCACACCAGATCAACATAGATAGAGCCTGTAATACAGCCATGATATCAGACAAATATCAGAAATTGCGTTGTTTTGATAGCCGATAACTAAAACAATCAATAAATCTAATCTTGTGTAACAAACTCTCGTGGCTGAAAGAAGCTTTTAAGAAGAAATTATCCTGATTAAGGAGGAATTTGTTAATAGGTCTAAAAAAAAAATCATAATTTTAATAACCTTATATCTATAGAGTATATGTTTAATTTTGTTCTGGTGGATTTATTTTAGATAGAGGCTTTTAAAGTGCTTTTAAAGTGCCGAAGATTAATTGAACATTATATTTAATCATGTAAATGCTTCAGGGCCACAAAGGTTCACTTAAGTGTCAGTTCAGCATGTTGGTTTTTAAATACTAGTAAATTCTAACTACATATATTAGTGTTCTTGTGCAGTTAATCCTATCTCTCCCTGCTCTGCTCTGCTAATTAGAGTAAACAGATCCTCTCTCCCAACCTGCCTATTTAAACCTGCCTCTCTCAGTCATTCCCTGCCAGAATGTCTCCTCACAGCCTTCCTGTGCTCATCCTTCCTTCACCGGATTCTCATTAGCTTCAGACACGGAACTATTTCTGCTTATCAACAGTTTGCTCTATCTTCCAGCCTGCCAACCATCCTCCAGTCTGCTTAAAATCTCCCTCCACTCTGGTCATTTATCGTCTCCCTTCTCAGAACTGCAATCAGCCAGTTCAGCCTGTCACCAGTCTCCTTATGCAGCTACCTGCCCATTCTGTGGGTCACCAACTGGTTCAGTCATCAGCTGCCAACTCAAGCCGGCTACCAGTCTGCCTGCCGGCACTCATCAACGTTCAGTACAACCTCTTTTATCTACATCCTGAGTCCTCAGAGGTAATTTTATTACAAATTAGTGAATAAAGTTATAAAATAATTAAGTTACTGAAATAAATTAACTTCATAATAATATCCTAATTAACTGAATCTTTATTATGTAACATTTTTTATACCTTAACTTTAGAATCCTTCCTTATTTTTGAATGTTTTTAACCTTGGAAGACAAAACAGAAGGATTTCAGTGATATAGCTAATTTAGCTGTTAGTTTTTAAATGTTTTACTGATATTGAATAAATTGAATCAAGAGAAAATGTAAGAAAGCACATTTAAATAAGTGTTTTCTAACAGTTAATCACTTTAAGATAAAATACGAAAACAACTAAATGGATTAAAGTATTTTGAAGCTCAGGAGGAGGAAATAAATTGAATCATTGAGTAGTTTGAAGAAGCAGAAGCAGCTCATGTAAAAAGTGTTTAAAAAAATAAAAAACAAAAGGGATTACAGACTCCAGAACAAGTTACCAGAGAAAAAGCTTTCGATAACAGCTCTATCACTCGGCCAAATGGGAAAGCTGACAGAGAACAACAAAGAAAATTGATGCTTTAAATGAGCCGAGCATGAAATCCGAAGCAAAGCAGGAAGGTTTTGGAAGGGAGACCCACCAGCAGCCCAGGGAACATGTTAACGGGTCAGAGCGGAAAACTGAAAGCAATAAACTTTACCAAGTGGACTGTAATAAATCAGTGAAAGGAAATGAGCTTTCTATCTGGAGGAGCCTAATGTAAACCAGCAGGATCAGGTAAACAGAAGAAAACAAGGCTCCAGTGGACTGAAGAGAAGCAGCAGCAGACCCAGAGGATTTCTGCTTAAACTCAATAACAGGACAAACTCAAAGCTTCTTAATCCACTATGAGGTTCTGTTGGAAGGAAGCAGCTCCTGTCATGGCTCTGATAAGGCCCACTGGGCTGGGAAGGGAGAAAGAGGGGAGATGCTGCAAAGTCAGCAAAAATCTATTAACTGATCAAAGCAGAAATTAAATGTATTATGTTTTACAAAAGCAAATTGTTTCAGCTTTTTAGCCGGGAACTGATGTTTACAGATTTATTTATATTTTATCAATGATTTGAGGTTTTATTTTGTTGATTCATGATAAGAAATGTTATATACCTGTTTATTTTAATAAGGTTTTCCACCAGTGTTGCTTTATTAGAGCCAATAAAAGCTTCATTAATTTGGATGATTATATTTCCAGCCAGTAAATAAATATTTTGTGTTATTTTATGGGTAAAAGGGAAGGAAAAACTCAGATCTTACTTTGACTGTCAAATTTCCTGATGATAGTATCCAAGAAGGTGTTCTGAGGGGCCACATGGCCCCTCCGGACCGGCATCTTTACAGCGGTGGCCCCTGGATAAAGGCGACCTCTTAGCGGAGACTTTTAAGGAGATCACGGTGGAGGTTCGGTTCTCCGAGCGCCTCTCCTCTGAGAGCAGGATGCTCAGTGCGCTCCCCACATGGACCCCTCCCCCCCTCCTCAAAGTTTCCAAGGTGTGTTCAGGTGGGTTCTGATCTCTGGGAGATGAATGAGAGAGTTCTGGAAAGGAGGCGCGCTGTGCGCACCGGGAGGACCGGATCCACTTCCAGCCTCAGAGTCCAGACTGGGAGCCGAGCTGCTGTCCCTCTCTGTCCGCCGATGCGCTCACGCAGCTGCGCTCTCATCCTGCGCTCCTGGCCGCTCCTTGGAGGCGGACTGGGCGACTTCTCCGATGAGCGTCGTTGGAGCCATAATCATTTTTTTTTTATTATTGGGGGGGGGGGGGGGGGGGGGAGCTGAGCTGCGCCTTTTTTATTTATTTCTCACTCACTCCACCTCCTCTTCTCGTTGTTTTGGCCCCTGGAGCCTCAGATTGGCTGCAGAAGGAGAAAGAAATGAAAAAGAAAAGCAGCTGCGCGCAGGTCGACAGCCTGGACGTGTTTTAGAAGGTGTTGCGTGGATCTCCCTTCCTCCTCCTCCTCCTCCTCCTCGCTGTGCGCGCTGCCGGATGACTTCAGCTCCCCTGGCGTCTAGCTGCGCCTCTTTTTAACCCTTTGCGCATCACGAGTGGCGCCCAACACACCTCTGATTGACAGGGAGCCACATGAGAGCGCTCACTTCTTCCTTACTGATCACAGCCAGATGATGATCAGTTGAATTATCCCCAAAATAAATAATCACTACTTGTCATAAAGAGTTTGAATTATTATTTTTATATATAATATAATAGACAATTTTTTTCCTCTTAGAGATGCTGCCTCAGGTCAGACTGAAGGCCCCTAGGTGAGCGCTGCATCCAGGCTGAAGGTGCACCTGGTAGTCCATCAGATAAGGCAGGAAATGCGCCTCCTTCACCTGCTGGATGAGGCTGCAGACAGACGCCTGACGTAAACAGGTGATCCACAGCTTCACCTGTCCTCTTTCTTAGCTGGAAAAAAAAAAACAAAAACGCTCTTTACGCACAGCCACCTCCCCAGCCTGCTCCCTCTATTGTGCTGCCCCGCTCCGCTCTGTGCAAGCCGCGCTCATTTATTTATTTACAGGATTCCCGAACCAAGAAAATAAAAGAGAGAAAAAAAAAATCACCTTAGTGAAAGTGAAATATCCCTCCGCAGCTGCGACAGATTTAGGGATTTAAGGTCGTTTTTTAAGGTCGCTCAGTTGCTTTAATTTGCTTCCATCAAGGGGCTGGACGGGGATTCACCACTCAGCCTGCTCTGCTACGTCACACCTCCGGGGTTCCCCCCTTCCGTCATGCTGGAGATGATGCATTCAGGGAAAGTGGGAATTTATAATATCAAATGAGGCGCTTTTAAAGAATGGAACTAGTACTAAGTAAAGCTCCCTATTTACATAATTTCAAGATTATTTACAGGGTTGTAACCAAGATGCTTTATATAACATAGTTATTGCACTGGATATTAGAATCCAAGGATTTCTGCTGTGTAGCGTAGTCATTAAAAAAGGAAAACCGCAAGAAACACAGACAGACAGATTAGGCAAGTCTACTGTTAAGGCCAGGCTTAAAAGTTTCCCTTTTTATAAAGCTTATAGTTGTAAACAGACTGATGTTTTGCTCAGTCGCTGGGTGAGTAGAGATATAGAGGACGTAGAATGAACTGCCCGATCTAGAGAGGATGATTCGGTTCAGACAGACGTTTCTCCTTGGCTCAACTTTTCTCCCACCTCATCTGAAATAGTCATGTTATCGTGAGCTATCTGTATAGTTTTGCTGCTATAGGCTTAGGCTGCTGGAGGACATATAGTAGCAACCTACTTTCATCTCTTCATTCTATCTGAAGGGCAGTGGAGGCCTAGTGGTTAGTAACCTGACTCCGCCAGATGGATTTGCTCCGCATATCCATCTGGAAACGTTCCGTAGAAATAATTTTGGGAAGGGGCGAAAATACTGGTTAGCTGATTGGCCTATGTTGGTGATAGACGGGCCAAATAAACCAATCAGATCAACGAAGCATATGATGTACTAACAGAGCGACGACAAAGAGGAGCCAATTGATAGATCAAACTCTTGCCGAAACCAGTCGGGAGAAGAGCAAAAATATCTTTTCCTCTGAGAAAAGCCTCCAGAGCAGTGTTTTGCTCTTCTTTCAGTGAAGAAATACTCTGTAATTCCGATAAAACTTGCTCGATAGCCACGCTAACGCTAGTTTCATCGGCTGAAGCCGCCATGTTCTTTAGACTGAACTGTCGCGCTTCTCGTTGCGTCACACCTCAACCAGCCTCAAAGCCAACGCTGATTGGACGTTCGTTTGGTGAACGGCTCCAAATTTTCTTTAACGGAGAGTCTCCAGACTGATCTGCGAGTGAAATCTTGAAAGCTCGCGAGATCAGGATGGTCTCACGAGGCTAAGTGGTTAGGGCATAGAGCTTGGAATCCTGAGGTTCTGAGTTCGAGCCCCACTTCTAAGGTCTGCCACTCTGGGTCTCTGTGCAAGACCCCGGGCACCCGCACAATGGCAGCCCACTGCTCCCCAAGAGAACGGATTAAATACAGAGGTAAATTTCTCCAATGCGAGATCATTAAATTATTATCATTATCTCTGTTCTCCCATCCCGTATAATTTTTTAGTACAATCTCTACTTGCTACCATCAACACCTTAGATTATAGATGATAGAGTTAAGGCCATGTAGCGAAGGGCTCAACTTTTACTGTGACTAACTGTACGTACTCTCCTTCGTCACTTGACATAAAAACTGGCTCAGATCCCATCAGTTCAACTGCTTCTTTCCCAGAAAGATTCACCAATGGACCTAGTTTACCGTTACTGTTTCTAACATAGAAAGTATTTATAGATCAGTGCTTCTGCGTTCCTTTTTTATCTGTAAAGTCTGGTGGAGGGGGGTTTGTGCTGTGGGTTTGTATTTCAGGAGTTGGGATTAGTCCCTTAGTTTCAGTTCAGGAACTCTGAATACCTCATTATACACAGACATTTTGGACAACTCTATGCTCCCAGATCTGTGGGAACAGTTCGGAGCCCCTTCCATTTCAGAGATGAAACTGACAAAGCAACGTCCATAAAGACAAGTCTGGGGTGGAGGAAGTTGACCGGCCTCCACAGAATCCTGACCCCAGCCCAATTGAACACCTTTGAGATGAATTAGAGTGGAGACTGAATGAAGATGTGGCCATTCATGCCAGAACTTCAACTGCTAAGAAGAAATATTTCTTTTTGAGCCAAAAACACGCTTGACATAAAACAGCGACAGCTCTGTGGATCCATTCCTCAAAATGACCCAATCAGCTCCATCGATGCGTTTTGTTTTGGTGTCTGTGGTCATGCTCTTTAACGATGGCAAGCGTGAAGAAAGAGACCACCAGGCCGAAAGACCATCTGTCAGAGTGTGACATTTCGGTGCGTATTAAAAATGCATCAGTTGGTTTTGTTACACCCTGCAGAAGAGCAGCTGAAATCCAGTGGAAGCATGCTGGCCCACTTCCTCTTCTTCCAACTCCCTTATTTAGTCAGGAAAGGAGAGAAACAGAGAGATGAAGACGGAGGAGGTGAGAACGGAGAGATCAGCGGAGCAAGGAGGAAAAGAAAAAGATGGTTTATTACCAAAGAAAGGACAGGTCCAAGGTTGTCAAAGTTGTTGCTGCACACACTGTCTGCACACACAGATAAAGGTCACAACAGTTCCTCTTATTATTACATTCTATTTTCTAAATAATTAAATTCTATAGCTGATTCATTTGACACAGGGATTAATACATCTTCTGACGATGAAAGATAAACTCATAAAACTCGCCGTCCGGCTGAGCCCTTTATGACGCTGCCAACTTTATGCAGCGAGGAGCATAAACAACAGATTATGTCGAACCTGAATGAACAAAATAAGGGGAAACTCATACTTGTTAAAAAGCAGACAGGCTACTGGTGGTTTTTGTGTTGGCCTTTTAAGGAGTCTGAAAAACAACCGGGACACAAACTGAGACGGAATGTTTATTTTTACATTCTTTAATTGCTAAAGCCTCTGTCAGTTTTTGGCTCTAAAAACAAAACTTTCATTGGTCTAAACATGTGGAACATTTAGTGAAATACCAGGTTCAATCAGCTCAAAG